TGCTCTTGTTCATTGGATCTTAATTTATGGGGCAGGGGATCTCTCAGTGTCCTCGTTATTATATATCTTCCGTTTTCTCAGATCTGCTTGTGTTTTTGCAGGTGAAGGTCTTGAACTCTTTTCCAGATGATTTTGCAGAACAAGATTGTTTCTTGAGAGGCGACTTCTTGGAACTGGATGATCTTACAGAACTCAAGTCACTTTCTTCTAGTTCAGAGAATTCAAGTTGTCCAAGCCGGGCATCTGATGAATATTTTGATTCATTGGCCTTGTTGCGGGACCTGAATGATGGGGATGACAAACTTCAGGGGGAGGATTCAATCCAATATAGGTTTTCTGCATCCATTAGACCAAATAAGGTGGTTATGAAGCCAGCCACTTTAGGTATGTAGAGATTTTCTGTCATGCTCTTTCTATGATCTCTATTCATATCATTTTGTATATCCTGGACGCTGCATGTATCATAAAATCTGCGAAATTTGTCTATTCTTGTTACATTTATTTGTTAGTCGCTGATGTGATCAAGGAGTTGATTATGTTTCTGAATCCAGAGTTTTGAAATGCACCATACATGCATTTTCATTTTTCCCCGTCATCGTCAGTAGTTTCAGGTGGAGTCCAGACTTGATGCTTGTGTTGAACCATGCCAGCTAAGAGCTCAAGCTGTTAGAGAGACAAGGAATTGGATAGTACTAGAAAATATTCATACACAAAAAAGAAGATTCTTTTGCAAGATGCCATGAAATTACAGTAACTACAATCAGAAAACTAAATTGCAAGAGAAATGAATTTTAGCATGAAGTAACTTCCATAAACCAACAATAATATCAGGAAACTTAGGGAAAAAATGTCAGTTTGGGCACTACTCTTGTTATCGTTTCAGTTAGTAGAAGAGAATTAACTCGATTGAGTAAATTACTCAATGATCATTAATCCTAAATATACCGAGGAAGCACATGTGCTAAAGTGAAGAAGAAATTCCATAGCCAATCTGTTGTAGACACATTTATGGCCTTATGTATGTCAGTATTCCTAAGTATATGCACGATGATTTATCTAGGATTCGCTTTAGCCATCATCCCACTTCAACTGAGACGAACATGATTGTAATTTGTAATGCTAATTATATTGTCCTTTATGGAAATCTACAAAAACATGGCATGTATTTTGTTTTCTGTATGCAATTTTCCAATGCGGGCTCATCTAGCTGCTCTCTCGCACCATTTTATACATACTTGAATTCATTTCTTATGCAGCAGATTGCTGGTTTGCAGCACTTGTTGATATTTCCCTTTCAAAATGTTATCCTAGAATCTATACAGAGTGGTACTGGAAATAAGCTTACAGTTGAAGGATTTCTAACTGGGTCAGCACCTGATCCAAGGTTCCCAGAACAATTCCAAGAGCATGCTAATGAAAGGCAGAAATCGGATCACAGAATTGAAGGCACGTCCACTTTCCTTGATGCAGCAAAGCCATCTGCTAGCCAAAAAGCTGAGTCACCTGGAGAAAGAAAGGCCGTTGTAGGCAGAATGAAAAGGCTTAAGGAGATTCTCTGTTTCAAACCATTCTAAATCCTCCTCGTGTTTAAATATAACAGGTAACCAGCATATTGTCAAAACATTAAGTTCAGAAATAGCTCGATGCCAGGACCTCTCATTCGTATTCCTTTTTCAACTCTCATTTATAGGGCAGCAGCTGTCCTATTTATGTTCATTTGATTGAAGAAATTGCTACTTATCATTGGGGTTCAACAGATAATTTAGCAGGGGAAGATAACACGTCAAGCATGTATGGTTAAACTTAAAAGCAAGTAAAAGTTAGTTTGAAGTAAGTTTATGTATTTTTGGAATGTAGTTTTAAGTTTTTGTTTTTTTAGTAGTTACCTTATTTCTTGTTTTCCAGGAAAGAATGTTAATTGATAATTTCTCTTTAACTATATTGTAAAAAAGTGCCTATCAAAAAACTATTGTAAAAAAGTAACTTTTTTACTTATAAATTTGCCTATAAGTTAACTTTAAAGCTTAGATAACCATGCTTATGCCTCTGTTTGGGAACGATTTGCCCCAGTTTTAATCCAAATTTTGACATATGGGTTTTTGAATATGAAGTAATTATTGACTTCACAGGAACCATTTCCCCTGGATGCTTTTTTGTATTGAAGAATGAAATGAGAGTGAAAAGATGCATGTCATTCTACCTAATTCATTCAAAAATTACAGCTTTGACTACTGATAATAGCACTGTATAATGGCTACAATGTTGCTAAAAATCTAATAGAAAATCCATCCCAAACAAGCATTGTATATCATGGTTTCCATTCAATTGGTAGGATGAGAGCGAGCATTTTTCGATGACAATTCTTTAAAAAGTCGTAATATCCAGTTCATGACTTGTGTACAAAAAAATCGTTCATTAAGTATATATTGAAATCCTTGTAAAAAAGACTCAAGATGAGAAAGTTATAGTATAAGATAATTGAGGATTTTGTGCTACAGAAATCGGCATAGCCCCAGGGGAAGGAATCGTCACGAACTGTTAGAATTAAGCTATATATTTGATGTTACCGCCTAAAAAGTTAGATGTCCATGCATCACACGACTTGCTACCATCTTGAAAAACATGAGGATCTAATTGTTGAAAATTGAACGTTGGAAACATAGTTGCCTCATTTGTAAAGTTGGGATTCCAACTGTAATATTTACATAAAAATTCAGAGGAAATTACGGGAACACAACATAAATTCTCCATTTAAAAATCACATTTCAAAATTAACAAATTTCTAAAAATCTTTCAAAAATCAGGTGCTAATTAAATTTATTAAATATTAATTTTAATATAGTATAATTAATTTACTTTCCCACCTCACCTCACTTTCAACTCCACCCACCCATCACATCAAACTCTTCTATTTCTCTCTCCAACCCACCCCACCACACCCCACCCCAATTCTAGCGACTTCTCCGGTGACGGCTCCAACAACAATTCCGACGACTGCTCTGGAGACAATCTGACGACCTCCCAACGATGCTCCGACAATCGTTCGACGAAAATTCCGATGACAGGTCACTTTTCCGACGACTACCTTTTTTCTTCTTTTTTTGGCAATGACCTGTTATCAGTTCCATTAGATCTGTGATTAGGTCTATTGAATCTGTGACCTAATTAAGTGGGATGAATATGCATATGATCAATTTCAATATTAAGAAATAAACTTTGAAATTTTACATGTTATTTGTGACCATACCTGTATTATATGTGACCAATTCACTGACTTATGTTATCTGAGATCACCACGACCAACTTTGCTTTCGATGTAACTAATTGTGACCAAATTTGTATTCATTGTGACTTTCTATGATCAGATCAATCTCAAGTCACAACCTGTCACAATCAATACAAAATTGGTCACAAACAGTCACAACTAGATCTCGAACTGAAAAAACCAGCTCTCCAACCACCACAACAGATCTGTTTGAAAAAATAATAACCACCACTATTACTAACATCTTTAACTCAAATTGATGACCATAAATACTACATTCACCTCAAATCCACAACAATCATCACTACCATAGCTTCCACCAACCCTTCAAAAAACACCAACCAACACCACCACACTTCTCTCATGAAACTCCGGTGAGAGAAGTGGTAATTGGTCGAAATCTAGAGGGTGGATGTGAAAGAAGTCGTAGATCTGATTTTTCGATAAGAAAGTGTCGAACTAATTTTTAGGGAAAGAAATAGAGTGTGAGTTAAAAATTGATACAAGATCAGGGGTAAATTGATATGAGGTCTATGACCAAGTTTGTATTCAATATAAGTGTCTGTGATTAGATCAATCTCAAGTTACAACCGGTCACAATCAACACAAAATAGGTCACAAACAGTCACAATTAGATCTCGAACACAAAAAATTAGATCTCCAACCACCACAGCAGGTTTGTTCAAAAAAGTAATAATCACCACCACTACTAACATCTTTAACTCAAATCCACAACAACAATCATCGCTATCATAACTTCCACCAACACCTTGAAAAAATACCAACCAATTGAATTGGAATTAGAAGAACAGACGCACACAATCGAATCACAATTTTGGTTCGATTGATAGAAACCCATGGCTGCAGTAGTGGCGGAATGGGGATGGTGAAATCATGGGTGTAGATTTGTCGTGATGGGTCCCATCAATGACGCCGGACTTTGAAATTTCTGAAATTTGTAATTTAGGAATCTTCCATTTTTATCAATCCCTGGAAGACGCTAGAGAAGGAAGAAGAGAGAAAAAAAGTTTAATTTGAGTGGGTGGGTGGGGGAAGTTATAAAACATTTTCTATTATTAACTATATATTAACTAATTTAATAATTTTTAATTACCATCTGATTTATGAAATGAAAATTAATTCCCTTTATTTTTGAAAAATATTGTTTAAAAGTAGATTGCAATGTAATTTTCTCGGAAATTATTTAACCCCAGCACCTAGTTTGATTAGAACTCTTTTATGGGTTGGGCTTTTGGGCCCTCCAAACACTTTGTTAGTAATCAAGTTATGAACTTGTAGAAATTACGCCAAGTACCTAACATTTAATAAAAGGAACACTACATAACTTTTACGTATAAGAATCACATTTCAAGTTAACAAACTTATCAAATTATTTCAAAATTCAAATATTAATTCCAATTAATAACATATAATTAATTAAATTAATTATCACCACTTTTCAGAACTTGAAAACTCTTAAATAACTTTTACGTATAAGAATCACATTTCAAGTTAACAAACTTATCAAATTATTTCAAAATTCAGATATTAATTCCAATTAATAATAAATAATTAATTAAAATTAATTATCACCACTTTTCAAAACTTGAAAACTCTTTCTAGAGACCCCACCCCATGCATGCCCTACCTTACCCCACCCCACCCCACCCCACCGTTCCAAAAAATTTCCAAACATTAAGACCTAGATTCACACCTCCACGGAACCACCTACTCCAACCCTACCTGGAGATTACATCTCACCTTATGGAACCATCATATCCTATTCCACCTCCACCCCCACCACACCCATTCAGAAAATTTTCAAGTCACTGACATGTGTTATTCGTAACTAATTGTGACCAAGTTTGTATCCAATATGATTAACTGTGATCAAATTTGTATTTAGTGTGATCGTCTGTGACCAATTTAGTATTAACTGCGACGATAATCCACACGAAATTGGACACAACTTTCACAATAAACATATACTTGCCCACAAAAGATTCATCACAAACAAATCATCACACACTACAGATCAGTATTGTAATCCACCACTGGTCACTACCACCTTCACCTCCAACTTTACTACATTCAGTAACTTGTATTATCCGTGACTAATTGTATCATTGTTGACAAAAATTATTTCGATTTAAAACTCTGCAAGTGCACGATTCATTAACAAGTAATAAAGTGGATCTGTGAGTCCAAGTATCGTTTAGTTCAAGTTCGAATTAACTTAGTTTTAACTGAAACAATTGAAATTCGTGAATTTTTTCAATAAATTAAATAATCTAATTATGAATACAAGACCTAAATTAATTCAAATAAATGCGAGATTATAATTAAATGCAAGTTTATAAAAATATTATGATGAAAAGCGTACTAGATCCCAAATCCCCTTTTATCAATTTTCTTTAACTCCAAATCTTATAAATTTGATAACATGATTCAATTATGAAAACCAATATTTCTAATTTGTTTAACAATCTCTTTCGAATAGAATTAAACCTATTCTTACATGTGACCTGACTATATTTCTATGATGGATGCGAACATATAAAAATGCATCAATGAATTTGTGAATACTTCAAGATCACGTAAAGTATATCAGTATATTTCTATTCCCTATTGGACTTCACGATAATTGGCATTATGTCTAACTTATTTTCCATTTTTTGAGGGAAAAAAATGTCACAAAACTTATACAACCATTGAGCATGTAATTTTAGAGAAAATTAAATTTATGTCAATCATTCAATAATTGAAAGTGTGTTTTAAATGTCAAAAAATAAAAAAAAATCAAAAAAATCAAAAGTTAGAGGTTTGTGGTATAAGTTTCATCGTAAATTCTACAGCATAATAATTTAGCCTAACGTAATATTGAAATTAGACAAAGAAAGGATAAAAGACATTCCCTTGATTTTTTTTTTCTTTTCTCCGTTTTCTATGCGTGTGTTCCTCAAGCTGCCGTTTTTTTCTTCAATTTCTACTTGGTGTCTCTCTCTTTCTGTGTCTTTTTGTTCAATTATGTTAGGTGGACAGGGGTATTGGTAGAATGGATATAGGGATTTGAAAATTGGTCAATGTGCATTATTTAATTCATTAAAAAAATGGAGGGAGATTGATTAATTAACTCTCTCCCCCCCCTACTTTCCCCAAAGTACAGAAACGAAAGGCCTGAAAATTTCCAGTCGAATGAATTGAAATCTCAACGAAAGGAGATAATTTCCTCCATCCAGCTCAATTGAAATCTCAATTCCCACCCATTTTCCCCCAAAATTTTTAACTTCGATCTCCACCCATTTCGAGTCCCAGAAGGGAGAAAGCAACCTCCGGTCGGCACATGCTTGAAGTACTTTGACCGCAAGCGAGTCACGCGCACTCGGTGCTCATCTTTACGAAGTCCATTGGGGACAGATTCGACGATAGCCAGCTTCGAGTTCAATATCTAACCGATATTTGAATGATTTGGAACACTTGTAGTCGGTCTCAAAGAACAACGCAAATTGCAATTATTAATTGCCCTTTTCACTATATAAATGTTGAATGTGGGTTTGTTAGAATTTTGCTCGCCATTTGTGTGGTTGTGGAAGTGATTTATTTTTATTTTTATTTTTATGTTGTAATGATTTATGGTGGTTCGCATGGCTTTGATGGTAGGCTAAATCCATCGTAAACAATCCAATAGCATTGGTTCATTTCATTTTGGTCGCTGGAATTTTATTCCCCTCCTTCCATATTAGTCACTGAAACATTCCATTTTCATTAAAGTTTAGTTCCTCCATTTTATCCTCCCCCCCCCCCCCCCCCCCCCACAACCCACCCCCCCCCTCCTCCCTCCCTCTTGAAACAATATTGGTTCACTTTGGTTGCAATTGCCCTGTGAATGTTTATGTATTGTGATGATTTATAGGGATGAAAGTGCATGATAGAGATGGAGTTAAACAAGGGGCTGGCTGGTTATTTCTTTTTCCTGGGTCTATAGTGCCAGCGACACAAGAAATAATGTAGAAATGCCAAGGGAACTAATGTAGAATTGGCATTGAATTGTATGATTAAGAAATTTATAAGCATTCCGACCACAGTTTCTGATGATCCTAGTTACACTAGCAAATTTTAATAGAGAGGCAGGTTCCAAACTTTAATGGAAAGAACTAAACATGATACTGGAATAGCCAATTTTGGTGTTTTGCTCGAGAGTTGGCATGCTGGAAAATTATATAGCCAAATTATTGAATACCCAATCATCACTCTCTTTAGCTTGTCTTAAAAGTGCCTCATACTTAGCACTATGACATCTCTGATTCTAAATTAGAACTGTCAATTGATGCAAGAAAACTATCTTAAATAAGGTGCCAGTTTCTCATACCATAACTTAACTATCGAATTTATATTTTTGCGAAGAGCATGGATGGTGGGGGGATGCAAAGGAGCAGCTAAATGACAGGATTAAAAATAAAAAAGTGGTGAGTGATGCACAACAAAAGGACTTGAATACTAAAGATAACGGGGAATGTAACCACACCAGGTAGCATGATGGATACTTCATTCATTCAGACGGGACTAAGATTAGGTACTTCATTCATTCAAGACGGGAAATGTAAACATGATAATGAAATTACACAGATCCACAATAATGAAGCAAAAATCCAAACTCGTGTGCAAAGAAATTTGACTGCTACCCATTTAAATGTGGTCTTCAACATCTAATATATCAAAGATAGAAATAATAGAGCTCCAGTAAAATCTTCAATTCAACAGAAAATAAAGAAAAAATCACAGGTATATGCATTTATACACTTACTAGATGGGACTAAGATGACTTCGAAGGAGATTTGTGGACTCCGTAAAGATGAACATCGAGTGCTCTTGAGCTCGCTTGCAGCCGGAGTACTTCAAGCATGTGTTGGCCGGAGGTTGCTTTCTTCCTTTTGGGACTCAAAATGGGTGGCTAGGGAAGTTGAAAATTTTCGAGAAATGGGTGGAAATGGAGATTTCAATGGAGCCGGCTAGAAATTTTCAGGCCTTTCGTTACTGTACTTTGGGGAAAGTGGGAGGAGAGAGAGAGGGGTACTTTTAATTTTGACTCGGTCAAAGGAGCAAAATTTCAATTTGACTTCCAAAATAATGAATATTATGATATTGGCCTCTTATATGGTAAAAGACAAAGATACCCTTAAATGTTTTGTACAATTACAAAATCATATATTGTTGAAAGGACTATACTACCCTTTTACTTAATAATTGAAAACCAAACATTTCCCCACTTATAAAAACTTCAAAACGAGCTTCCAACACATAAAAAATTCTCATCTTTTCATCTGCTTGAATCTCAAAATCTAGAAGAACTTTGGAACGTTGAAGCTGAAATTTTTTTCACATCAATTACTTCAAATCGGTAAGTACATTTAATCATGTTTAATTTCGTTTTAAGTAAATTAGTATACGTTTAAATAGAGAAATTTTATGTCGACATAGATTTTTTATAACAGAACCTATCAAAAAAAATAAAATTAAACGGATGTATAACTTACGTTTAAATTATGCATGCTTAATTTCGTTTTTAGAACGGTATTCTCCTACGCCAAACTGGTTTAGCTTAACGTTTGGAAACAGTCTGAAACAGCCTTGGCCGCAGCTGATTTTTTGCCTTTTTCTTTCTTATAATTAATATTTGAAGTTGATTAAAACCATTTCCTCATGCAGATATGATAATCCCCGTGTGTTATTTCGGTGATTTCGAATTGAATGAAAATAATCGGTGGGAATGGAGATGGACGAGTGACATACGTGGTTGTATTGCAATTCCTGTAACAGAGAGTACACCATATTTAGAAATGTACCACGATTTGCAAAATAAGCTGAATGTCGATCAATCTCAATACGATATGCAATTGAGATATCTATTCAACGGTTATGGGGATTCATCCATTCCGATGCCACCGGTATTCGTTACTAATGATGTTGAATTGAATTATCTATTAGAATTGAATAAAATGTATCGGACTCCGACTGTTCTTGGTGTGACTTTAATTACGAAGGATGTTATCGAAGGTGAACGTGAAGATTCGGATAGGGCGGATAACAATGATCGAGGTTTTTGGGAGACAGTGGAGATAGTTCCTGCGGATGATGTGGGTATTCCTGAGACAGTTGCTTCTGATCGTGATGTCGCTGTTACGCGCAGAATTTCGTCAACAGTTGAAGACAATGAGAACATAAACGACTTTACAAATGAGAATTTGATTGCTTTATCCCGACAGAGACACGAGCCTGGTGGGAGCTCACAGGTTGGAACAAGTGGACCGTCCTCGAATTCTTCCCGTGTGGCTCCCGATGATGAGGACTTGCAGGCCGAGCAACTGTTTGAAACCAAGAAAGATTTGCAGGAGGCTGTGCACCGGCTGACATTAAAATATAACTTTGAGTTCAAGGTAAAGAAATCAAACAAGTCATTGTTGACAGTTGCTTGCGTCGAAGACAGTTGCAATTGGCGCTTGAGAGCAACTAAGATGGACATGAATGAGTGCTTCGTAATTCGCAAGTATTTACGAGAACATACTTGCGAAGTGGGAATTCTTCGAAACGATCACATGCAAGCTCGAGCATGGTTTATTGGTCGACAGATAATGCACAAGTATCAGGATCTACGGACGATCTACAGACCTTCAGACATCATTAACGACGTCCGTCGAGAGTACAGAGTGGTCATGAGCTATCAGAAAGCGTGGAAGGCCAAAGAATGTGCGTTGGAGGATTTAATGGGATCAGCTGAAGAGAGCTATACTAAATTGGCTAGGTATTGCCATAACATGGGGACAACTAATCCTGGCACGGCATTTTTTATTGAGACGGGGGGTGATAATTATTTTAAGTATTTCTTCATGGCTCTCGGACAATGTATTCGGGGTTTTCGAAATGCAATGCGACTCGTAATTCTAGTTGATGGTACGACTCTGAAAGCTAAATATCAAGGCAAATTAATTATTGCTACATATCAAGATGCCAATATCCAAATTTACCCTATTGCATTCGGCATAGTCGACAGCGAGAATGATCTGTCCATGTGTTGGTTCTTTTCTAAACTGAGAAAAGTGATCGGGGAAGTCGAAGACCTTGCCTTTGTAACCGATCGAGGACAGTCTATAATAAACGGTATCGCTGAAATATTTCTCGAGGCACATCACGGGTATTGCATGTACCATATACAAGATAATTTGAAGACTAGGTATCGGGGCACAGACATCGTTTTATTGTTCAGGAGAGCAGCCGAAGCTTACAGTGCTGAAGAGTGTAATAAGTTCATGCTCGAGATAGGAAGTAAATCATTACCGGCGTTGGAATATCTGACGAAGATGGGGATCGAACATTGGGCGCGGGCATACTTTTCAGGACGTCGATACAACATGATGACGTCGAATAACGCGGAGTCTCTTAATGCATTGTTTAAGAAGGATCGAGAGTTACTAATTCTCGCAATGATTGAGAACATTCGTAACAAGCTACAACAGTGGTTTCATGACCGACGTGCAGCATCAGAGAGTTGTACTAGCGTGTTGGCCTCAGCTCAAGAGGAGAAACTGTTTAAGGCGGCAGAGGTTGCGAGGAAGTTGAATGTGGAAGCACTAGATGAGTTTCGCTTCTCCGTGCAATGTGCGCGTAATATGGCATATATGGTGGACTTGACTTATAACACATGCACTTGTACGAGATTTCAGTTGGAGAGTTTTCCATGTGAGCATGCAGTTGCGATGGCCATGTATCGAGGCTTTGCTACGAGAAGGTTGTGCTCTTTGTATTATACGATTGAGTCTTGGAGAACAGCATATGCCGAGACTATATTTCCTCTGCCGAATGAAGCCGAGTGGGAAGTTCCCGAGCACATTCTCCCATTTCATAATTTGTTACCACCAGCAGTTGAACCGCGTGGTCCTGGACGTCCAAGTACATCTAGAATACCATCTACCGGATAGTTTCCTCGACCGTGTAGGTGTGGCCGGTGCAGAGCCGTAGGGCATACTCGGCAATTTTGTATCAGTCAAATTCCCCTAAATGACGACTAGACAAGTACGTGAAATGAATAATATTTCCTTTTACTATACACTGTTCAATATTTGTTATTTATAAATCTTCAATATATAAAAAATAGTTCCACACTCGGCATACGGGTAAAATAACAAAAAATAATTAAATTTCCAATTTGAATGTTATATTACATTGAACACAAATTTAAAATTATTTAAAAAATACCAAAATAATTAAATTTCCAATTTGAATGTTATATACATTGAACACAAATTTACAATTATTTCAAAATAACAAAAAATAATGAAATTTCCAATTTGAATGTTATATTACATTGAACACAAATTTACAATTATTTCAGAATTACCAAAATAATGAAATTTCCAATTTGAATGTTATATACATTGAACACAAATTTACAATTATTTCAAAATAACAAAAAATAAGTAAATTTCCAATTTGAATGTTATATATATTGAACACAAATTTATAATTATTTCATAATTACAAAAATAATTAAATTTTCAATTTGAATGTTATATACATTGAACACAAATTTACAATTATTTCATAATTACAAAAATAATTAAATTTACAATTGAAATGTTACATATGTATAACTGAAATTTATGGGTCAGCATTAAATTCGAACAAATCACATGCTAGCTTCTTTCTCCAGTTCTGTATCCACGACTGGTTGATTTCATCAACCTTATGTCCTATACTTAAAAATTCAACGTACTTAATGGCAAATATGCCACAGTCCCCACTGCAATTGAACAAGAATGAATCAGTTTAGTAAATAAAAACTAAACCTGAAAGATGAAAACAACAACGTTCAAACACTTACCTTACGGACTGTCGCGCTGTCGTCATGTTCCGAAAGATCCGCAATCTGTCCTGTACATTTATCCCCGCTCGTCTGGCCATCATAGGAACAATGACAGCCACGGACTCCAGATTTTGTTCCAACTGGTTTTGTGTCAAACATGAATGATCTGGGTCGTACACATATATAGTCGAGTCAGCAAAAACGATCTCCAGCGTAACATAGTGTTTATTGATGCACGCTGGAATGTACATATGTGTACAACCCTCCCATGATTTTCCCCCGACACTCGGTGACAGTCCTATCACCCACTCGAGCATATATTCTGGTACCGTGTACTCGTTACCCATATGTGCGAGCGACTGATACTCTATGGTAACGGCACCCAGGAACTCGGTGTTTAATATGACTCGACCATGGACATCAAATGATTTTGGATGTCTTTGAACTCGATCTCGCAGCAAGTCCATGGCCAGGTCGATGTGCTACAGCAGGAAACACCGAAAAGGTATGAGTTATTCATTTAATAAACACAAGGTCACATATACATAAAAAACACGAAATGAATAGTTCACTTACATCGTCGGCGAGCCAAGCTCCCGCAGTGGTGATATCGTGGAACCACTTGTAAGGGTCCAAAATCGTCCTTTGTCCTATCGTGCGGCTAGCTCTGTAAAAAAGAGGGAAATGTTAAAATAAGCGTAGACGAGTTAGCGTACAGTGCTTTATTAAAATCATACAATACTTACCCGGGGATAATTCTCCTCCACTCTGTCTCGAACGCTTTCCACTTGGCATTGTCCACCTCTCTGAATAAGTTCGGGTACGTCCCATCGATGAATATCCTCCTCTTGGCCTCAGCCGTGAAGGGGGAAATAACATACTGTGACGGCACTCTCAATCTCTTGCCGACCACCTGCTCCGTCTCATCAACAACCTTTCTCTTACCCTCAATCACGCCGGGCGTCCTCTCGACCTCCGGGGACACCTCCTCCGCCCCCTCCATGGGGGCCTCCCCCTCCATCGCCACCACCTCCGCCCCTCCCCTCTCCCATCCCCATCGGGGCCACCCCCTCCATAGACAACCACAAGGACTCCAATGTCTCATCACGCCAAAAATGTGGGTAACCCCCCTCTCCATCACCATCTCTGCCACTCTCTCGATCATGATTTCCGCCATCCCCTCTGTCCCTCCATCGTCTGCCGGCTAAATCTCCCCTAAGCGCCGCTACTGTATCCTGAAGGTCGACAACGGAAGACTGTAGTATTCCAACATCATGGGATAGATCGTCAACCCTCCCTGTCAACTCTCGTCCCATATCGTCGACCCTCCCTGTCATATAGTCAACCTTCCCTGCCAGATCGTCGACCCTCCCTGTCAACTCTCGTCCCAGATCATCGACCCTCTCCGTCAACTCTCGTCGTAGCGCGTCGACCTCCTCCGCTATAAATCCAGTCAAACGGGCATACAAATCATCACTGTACCCCGGAGACACACGGGGAAGGTGTCTGGATGGAGGTGATGCCAATGGCGGCAGCGATGGCCCCGACGGAGGTGATGCCACTAGCGGTGGTGATGCCCTCGACGGAGGTGATGCTAATGGCGGGGACGATACTCTCGACGGAGATGATGCCAATGGTGGCGGCGATGGCCCCGGCGGAGGTGATCGTCGATCAGCTGGACCGCCCTCCTACATAAATAAAATGAAAAATTATTCAATAAATTTATACGTCGATCATATTCAATAAATTATATTTCATTCACATACCCAATCTCGGTTCAAGCTCGGATCAGGCATCTCCTCGTCTGGGGTGTGCGGAACGCCTAAATCCCGCACAAGACTCCGAGCCTCCTCTTCCATCGATGGCGTCAACTCAGGTATGACTTCAAGCTGACATATTGACATTTCAACTATTTAACGATCATGTAAACAAAATTTTAAACTACGTATAATATAAATCACAAATGCATAATACTTACTTGAGGATCGTCGAGGAGGGTCGATAACTGCTTCCCGGTGGGACATCCCTCCACTCGCGATGATCTTTAATGATGCATCCGAGGGCAGCGTGTCTCCCCTCGCTGTGCAAAGCGGGCCCCCAGTACAGGAACTGTCTCATACACCCAAATCTGTAACACATACACTTATTAAGCATCAATGTAATACACTAAAACTTTAACTTTGATTATATTAAACATTTACCTGTACTGCTAACGGCAATCCATATGTATCGTATTTACGCATCGACCCCCTGGGCCTCGAGTGCGATCTGGTGATCACATGTACGGTGTCTTCGTAGCATCTTCGGCCCCACGGATAGTTGTTGAACGCATCGATGTCGTCAACAACTTGCAAATGAAAAATGTCGATGACAGTCTTCTTGTGATGACACCTCATCACACTCTTGAGGATGTAGACCAACCCGAGCTTCAATCTATCTAGCATATGGTCGCACCCCCTGATCGCGACCATCAAGTCGGGTAGAAGCACCGACCCATGTCCCTGGAAGTACGTCTCGTACAACCTACTGCTTCTCTCCATGGCTGCATCGTTGCCCGTAATCTTCAGTCCAGTGATCAATGTAAACTCAAACATCGAGAAACTGACGACCTTGGCCCCGAGGTCGAACTGGAGGGAATCGCCGTCGACTGGTTTCAGAAGCCGACATAGAAGTGCATCAATGATCTGTCCTGAGTACTGCACCTCTCGCAACTGGTACAGTGGCCACAAGAAGGACTGTCGTAGAATATCTCCGTGTTGATCATCGAGCAGCTCCAATACAGCAATAAAACTCTTAAAGCTACAGTTCCAAGTAGCTTTCCCCGACATCCGTCTCAACTCTGCATCTAAATGATACTCCATCTTGCAAAAATTCAAATGTTATAGCATTGAACAAGAGATAACAAATTAAAGCATACTCTCACAAAATCAAGAGAACCGAACTCTAACTACCATACAATCACTAATATTACATTTGAAAAATATATTTACAAAAAACAACAAATCAAATTAAATGTATTGTCAAAAAAATTAAAGAATATAAATATTATTTAAATAAATTGAAAAAAAATCAAAGATTTTCATAAAAGAACAATAAAAGGAACAAAACAAATTATTAATTTCGAACAATATTATGTATTCAATTATTAAATTATATAAAAAAGGAAATTATAAAAATTAAATAATTAAATAAAATAATTATTATTTGGAAAATTTATTTACAAACAAAAAATTTCAAACTAAATACATTTTCGAAAAATGTAAAGACTATTTATATTATTTAAATAAATTTGAAAAAATAAATTAAAGATTATTTCATTAAAAAAAAAAAGGAACAACACAAAATTGTTAATTTTAGAATATTTGAATTATTAAATTATATAAAAGACAAATATAAAAATTAAATAAATAATTACTTTACCTTTTTTTAAAATTTAGACTATTCATATTATTTAAATAAATTTAAAAAATAAATTAAAGATAATTTCATAAAAAAAATAGAATCAACATTGTTAAATTTACAATATTTGAATTATTAAATTATATAAAAGACAAATATAAAAATTAAATAAATAATTACTTTACCTTTTTTAAAATTTAGACTATAGATATTATTTAAATAAATTTAAAAAATAAATTAAAGATAATTTCATAAAAAAAATAGAATCAACATTGTTAAATTTACAATATTTGAATTATTAAATTATATAAAAAACAAATTTTAAAATTAAATAAATTTGAAATAAAAAATTAAAGATAATTTCATAAAAAAAATTTGAAAAAATAAATTAAAGATATTTTCATAAAAAAAATAATCAACATTGTTAATTTTACAATATTTCAATTATTATATTATATTGACAATGATAAAAAAATTAAATAAGTAAATAATATAATTACTATTTAATCAAATAAAAAATTTAATTAATTACAAAAATTATAAAAAAAATTTAAAATTTAAATATTTAATCTGGGCCGGTGAACCGGCCCAGATGCCCGACTGTTAACAGTTAACAGTCGGCCCAGACTGTTAATAGTCGGTTTGGTGCGTTGCCAACGCTCGGTGGCCTCATTTTTCACACTCCAGCATGCCCACAATCTAGCTACTCATGCCCATGGATCTAATTTCAACCAAAATTACTAAGGATGCTATACTATGAAAAAAAGCATCCGAACTGGAGTTTTGATCAGAAAACTAACTGGTTCTTTTACTTCCACTGTAGATGATGATCGTTGATTGCGACGTTGGTGTAACTCCGGTGGTCGGTCGGTAGGATTTCTGCACTAGTTGGTCGGTCGGTTCGATCGGTGAGAGAATTATCAAACAGTCTGAAGGGTAAAATGGGAAAATACTGTGAACTTTTTTTTTTTTTTTTTAACTTAATTTGTTTTTTTTTAATTCATTTAATGGGTCAAAGGCCAATGTCAATTTTTGCTACAGTGGAAGAGCCATTTTTGTGTATTTCCTCGAAGAGAGAGAGAGAGAGAGAGAGAGAGAGACCAGCCTTTGTTTTATTAATTAATCAATTTCCCTCCATTTTTTTAATGAATTAAATAATGCACAGTGACCAATTTTCAAATTCCTGTATCCATTCTGTCAATGTCCCTGTCCGCCTAGCATAATTGCTTTTCATTTATATATATAAGGGGTATTTGATAGACATTTTTATGTAAAAATACATTTTAAAATAGTAAATTGATGTGAAATGTGTGGTTAAGAAATAAAGAAAAGTTTTTGATTTACGTGTAATATTATTTTAATAAAAATGTGTGGTTAAAAAGAAGAGAGAGAAAAATACATTTTGAAAAAAATGAATACCAAACGGGGCNNNNCAATTTTTCTTTGTTTAGAATTTAATTGCAATTTACTTTCCATGTTTAGAGACCCTTCTAATGCGGTGCTTGTGCCCAAGGCCTCTAAACTTTCAAAAGATGCAATTTAGTCCTTCCATCCATTTAATTGTGCAGCCTGTGTTCTCTTTAATTTTTAAAGTAACGAATTTGATCCTATACTATAAATCAAATGGCTAATTAATCATTCTTTCTTTTCTAATTGCTTTGAAATGGGCTCAACATTGAAACAAAAGAAAATTAATCTAAGTTAAGTAAAATTAGATGATTTGACTATATAAAAGTTTAGTAATATGATTTGAATAAGCGAACAAAATGCACTTATCAACCAACTTTGTTTTCAGTGTGACTGCCCGTGATCATTATAGTCTAGTTTGTGAGTGTATGTAAACAAGTCACATACAGTTACATTTAACATAGATCTAATTATAAACAATCACAATAAAAATAGACTTCCATCACCACCTTACCATCTCAACCAACATCACAACCACCACTACACACACACTACCAACAAATTAGACTCAAAATTATCACTACCAACACTACTACCACCTTACGAGTGCCGTCATCATCAACAGCCCAAGAACGGTAAATATAATCAACAAAAATCACCACCCAAATTCTAAGGATCGAAAATGAAACATCACAACTAAAAATTAGGTATGATTGTGCTATTGTAGCAGAACTCGCGCACAGTCGCACTACCGCCCATGGACTTACCGTTGTTGCAAGCACCACTACTTGGATCGGCTGGATTTTTGCAAGCACCACCATAGTAGCAATAGTGACCAAGTAAGGCACCATTGCTCACATAGCAGAGATGATGCCTTGCTGTGCTGCTGTGTGCGACGATTTTGGAACCAGAAGAGATGTATTCGTCGGAATGTCAAATGAAGTCAAAATATTGCATTCTTAATACCATTTCGAAGTACTCATGGCCTAATTTTTCACATATTAATGACATGTGAAGTGGTCAACTACAGCAAAAGTTATGACATGTTAAAGTAGGGCGTATGAAGCTAGTATTTTGAGAATTTCGATAATATCCTAACTTTAAAAATTTGTTTGCAATCATGTGCTATCTGAATCCACAAATTGTCTATGCCATGTAAAAGTTTGTTTAAAAAATAACATCGTTTTCATATCGAATAGTCCAAACGGATATAAAAAATAGTTAAATATGTATCAAACGTACGCCTTAAGAAAGACGTCTAACTCGTTTTTTGTTTTAAAAAATTCAATTAATTATTATTTTTAATATAATTTCTATCGTTTTATTCGGAAGTCATACATGAAATATGATGTAAATTTTTTAGAATCTTTACGGATTAAATGCAATTTGAATTACTTTCGAATTATATTTGTTTTAAATTTGAATTTCATTTACTTCCTGAACTAAACTTGAATTTTATTTCAATTCATTTAATTTCTATATTCAATTTGATTTACTCAATGTTAGCTTAACATTTGCCAATGAAATGATAAACAAAACTATATAAGTAACAAAATTTATTTAATAGTATTAATAATGATGTAATTATACGACATTTTCAAAGTGTCAAAATACATATAAACTTATTTTCATTGATATTATGTTGTTTATTAAAAAAATATTTTTAAAATTTTGACCCCACAATACTAAAGGTCTGGGTCCGCCCTTAGTGGGTGGTAAAGAGAGAGAGAAGACATAGAGAAGGAAGAAATTGAGAAATTTTAAGCTTTGAATTGGGTTTAGAATGAATTGCGTGGGGGGATGAATATGTAGATTGAGCTTAATTAAAATTAATAACCCTATTTACCACCTGAAATCTAAATCTTAAACTAAATCACTTTATTTATGAAAACTAATCTTTAATGGTAGGGATTTAGGTAATTTTCTCTTTAATAAATATTCAAACATTACATTTTAACATTTTTATCCCTTTATTGCTGTAACAATGAAATAAATTTGAAATATGGAAATCAACTCAACTCCTACAGGTAATCAAATTGGTAGCTAATTTTTT